ATATCTCCAGAGAAGGAGACTCCACAGCCTCCCTGGGCAGCCTGGGCCAGGGCTCCGTCACCCTCAGAGGGAAGAAATTCTTCCTCGGGTTCAGCTGGAGCTTCCTCTGCTTCAGTTTGTGCCCGTTGCCCCTTGCCCGGTCGCTGGGCACCACTGGGAAGAGTCTGGCCCCGTCCTCCTGACCCCCACCCTGCAGATATTTGTAAGCAACACGAGACTGCATTGCTTTGATCGCCGCCCCCCACCCCGTTTTGTCCCTGCACCTCCCGGCCACATTTCCAGACTCGGCTCTGCAGGACTGCAGACGCGTTCCTCACCCTGCTTCTCTCCTCGCTCGCTTGGCAGGTCCGGGGAAGCAGCGGCTGATCTACCTTTGCATCGACATCTGCTTCCCAAGCAACGTTTGCGTGTCCATCTGCTTCTATTACCTCCCCGAGTAAGCCCTGCAGTCGCGGACGCCCTCTCGCTGCCCTACGCACTTGACCTGGATTCCTGCAAAGCCTCTGATCTCCCCGAGGAAGGTAACCTCCCCGGCATCCCCCAAAAGCTTCCCGCCGGTTCCACGCTGCAGCTCGGGAGGGGGTAGGACCAGGAGGCGCCTCCGCGCGGTCAGGACAGACGCTTCATCGGCAGCCGCGCTCCGGGGCTGCGTCTCGTGCGTAGGCATCAGGAGGGCCAGGCCTCGAGGGACCGCGTGGCGCAGCTGGTGTTTGGTGGCTGCATGCCCTGCTCGACGCGAGGCCATGATGTGTGCTGGGGGCGGCTGCCTTTGTCCGAGCGCAGCCCTCCCCGTAAGCCTGCGAAACACGCTCTGAATAAAGGGATTGCAAAACAACACGACAGCTGCCTTTCCTCTCTTCGCTCAGCCTGATACAATCAGGCTGATCATATTTTTTTTCCACTTTGGGGTACAAGAACATCATCACAAGGCTGCCCGCAGCCGATGCCACGGGGATTCCTCCAGCTGAACCGTGCCCAGCTCCCCGCAGCGGGATCGTGCCTCCCTCTCCCCTTCCCTTCTGTCCAAGCAGGCTCCCTCGGGGGCCGCAGGCGTTCTGGGAATGACCAGCTGGGAGCTGAGGCCTGCTCTCACCCCAGGCTGACGCCGCTGCTTCTGTCAGAGGAGGGGATGGCTGCAAGGCCCTCTCCTTCCCACGCGCCGCCGCTACCCCAGCACGCTGTCGTTGAAAGCAAGGCAGACGACTGCTTTCTGGTGGCCGCTGTATTCCCTCTTGATCTCTCCTGTCTCCACACACCAAAGTCTGGCCAAGTTATCAGAGGAGGCTGGAACAGAAAGTGAAAAGAGGAGTGGGATCTACTGCGTTACCCTTTAAACTTTTTAGTTATTATTACAAGAAAGGCTTTCATCTGGCTTCGGTCAGCACCACTGCCGGGCTGCTGGTGACCGGTACGGGAGCTGTGCAGAGCAGGAAGCTTCGCGCGTTTCTGGATTACGCGGGGCTCGAATTCTTTCGGAGAGCAGTTACTGTGGAAGTCGCCACACGTGAGTTCCGAAGGGACCCTCACGCTGCGGACTGCACGCAGCGCTGCTCCCGGGTGAAAAACTGCACGCGCGAAGGTCATCTCTGCAGGCCAGACAGACGCCCTGCGGCGGCACCGGCAAAATGCTCCAGGGAGGCAGCAGCCCGCGTCGAGGGCGCGAGACTGGGCGCTCTCTCCTCGCACACGGGGGCACGAGGGCCTGGCAACGCCCCAGCTGGAGAAACTGCCAAGTCCTGGGCTAGTGCAGGGCCTGGGCTAAGCCAGATCAAACCACGGGCCTCACCTGTGACGATGTACTGGGAGTCCCCGGAGAAGGCGCAGTCCCACATCCAGCCCCGAGACGTTTCCCCTGGGTTGTTGCTCTTAATGCTCAGCTCTGTCATCAGAGAGAAGTTTGAAGTCCTCCAGATCTTACACGTCTGATCTGCAGAACACGTGGCCAAGAGCCTGCAAGAAAGAGACATGGGAGGGCAACCTTAATCACGCTGTACGCCTCAGGGCCTCTCGTTAACGCGGGCCTGGAACAGTAACGAGCTGGAGACCTGCGCTCATGTAATGGGATCTCTTTACACCCTCATCAGCTGCTCTGTGGGATTCAAGCCAAACAGACTCGCTGAAGGAGCACCCCAAGTTCACCGCTTTGCTGCTGGAGAGCAGCAACTCCATCCCAGCTGCAGGAACAGCTCGTGGCTGCAAAACTTGCCAAGAGCGCGGAGCACGAGGCCGGGATGCCACTGCCAGCAGCCCGGTGCCAGCATCTCCCGTGCTTCCCGTCCCACTCCCCCTGAGCCCAGCAGCGTGGAGCCAGCCCCGGCCAACAGCTGGAGGCACAGCTGGCCGCTGCCTGCCCGACAGCACCATCCGCTCCCCGCCGGCCCGCAC